TCAAGCAGACCAGGGAGATGCGGAGCAGCTTTTCTCACCACAGAGGACGCGGGTGGCAGGACCGCCGCGGCGCGTCTCGGCAGTCTGCTGGGGAGGGGGGCGCAGCTAGTTCGGGGTTCCCTCACCCCGTTCTTAAGTAGGGATCCGATGTAAGTCGGATCCACGTAACCCCGGGACTGCCTGTACACCACATGTTTTAAGCATGTGTAAGATTCATGAATCTTGAAAGGTGCATTGTGGGGGCGGGGGGCTCTGATCATCATAGCAGTGGAGCTATTTCTGCAGGTTTTACAGGATAGGTTGCTGCTTTGAGTGAAAATAATAAATAATAATAATAAATATATGGAGATATACCTAACTCATAGAACTAGAAGGGACCTTGAGAGCTCATTGAATCCAGTCCCCTGCCCTCACGGCAGGACAAAGTACCATCTCTGACAGATTTGCCCCAGACCCCTAAATGGCCCCCTCACACCCCGGGTTTAGCAGGCCAACGCTCAAGCCACTGAACTATCCCTTCCCCACACAAAAGCAGTCCTGCTCTGCTCAGAGCTTGTTTCTGATAATGAGCTTGGGTGTTGTTTGAAGGCCAGAAGTAATAGTTCAGGTCTGAGTAAAAGTTCTGTGTAAGCTCAAAAGTTTGTGTCTCTCTCATTCTGAGACCATCACAACTACACCACCACCACAGAACCTCCCCTAGAGATCAGGTGATATACAGTAGCCAGGAAGCACTTAAGCTTCCATTTGTCAACTCATACGCAACAAAAGTCTATGAGTAAAGCTTTTCTCCTACAAGACAATGACATCTGTAAGAAGTTATGCTATTTTTAAATGTTCTAGTTGGCCAAATAATGAAATGAAGATTGTACAAACTCTTCAAATTAGATCCCTACCTTCAAAAGAAAAGGCATGTGTTTTGCAGGACAGGTTTGCTCACTGGCCAATCAAATCAAGACAACAGAAAGGTAAAAAACTGCTAATACCTAATGTATCTTCTTCAAAACTTGGCTGCCACTTGTTTTGAATACCATTGACTAATTTTTTATATTATACCCAAAATTACAATCAAATTTAATGACATACCCGTTTTCTCTGACGACTTATTTCCACTTTCATTGCTGCACACTTGTTCAAAGTATTTAATCGTCTAAGGGGGGAAAAAAAAAGGACTGAAAATTTTAACAAATTATTTTCTTAAATACTAGGCGGCTGCACCCACTGCTTGCTACATGCGACAACCCCCCTCTCTGTGGCCATTTTCACTTTGTGAGAGAGCCTGTTGACTGTGATGATGTTATGAGCATCTGGTAGCCTAGGCAGGGGAAAGTTTTGCCTTCCCAAACTGCCAGACATGGTCCCACCCACTCGCCACCCCCTGAACACCTATTGTATGTGTTCTGGGGGCAGAGTGTTGCTGCCCTAGCGCCCGCCCTCATGGGGGCTGGGGAGGCTGGAGCAGCATGGTCGCCTCCTGCCCTGAGCCTGGGGTGTGTGCTCACCCCCGCTTCTGGATGATATCATTCTGTTGTCCATCAGGAAAACGTTGAGAGAGAGAGAGAGAGAGAGAGAGAGAGAGAGAAAGTGTGTCTTATAATTGCTCTTGAACGCTTAAACACTGAGTTTGAACTTCTGCCAGTAATAACTGACTTTCAGTGTTCCTTAAATGCCCCCAAATGACTAACCTAGTTCTGCAGTCAAAGCTTTAAGGATTGGGAAGGATGATACATTTATTTAAGACTTTGTAACAGAAAAAAATTGGTCAAATTAATGTTATAAAACACAATAAAAATGGTAGCACTAAGATAGATCAGTAGGACTTTCTTTTTTTGTTTTTGTTTTTGCTTTTTAAAAAAAAACAAAGCTTTTTGGTGTAACTGCAGGATCTGTAAAGCCCAAACCAACAAAATACTTCAGCACATGAGTAATCGCTTTGAATCATAGAATCAAAGGACTGGAAGAGACCTCAGAAGGTCATGGAGTCCAGCCCCCTGCTCAAAGCAGGACCAATGCTAACTAAATCATCCAAGCCACAGCTTTGTCAGGCCAGGACTTGGTGGAATCTCCATCCCTCGAGGTGTCCACCTCCAGTGCTTCACCACCATCCTAGTGAAATTAATGTGTTTTAAAAAAAAAGTAGCTCCAGTTTTTCAAAAAGTGACATAATTCTAATTTGATTCTGATGTTGAATAGAGAAAGTGATAAGAGTATTATTCCATCTCACCCTATACACAGAGGAAATAGCAATCAGGCAAGCATTTAGGCACATGCTTCGATTATGTGCTTAAGAGCTTTCCTCAACTGCGGTGTCAGGGTCTCATCTATTAAAGAAAAAACTATACCCGCACAAGGAGTATGTTTAATGCACTATAAGCATCATTTTCATGTGTGCTAGGTTGGGGGAAAATGCAAACTAATAATATTTACCTGTACAGAGAATCAATAGCATCTCTATCTAAAAATTCATGATCTTTCCTCACAGTTTTGATGTCAATAGGAAACTGCATATCTGTGAATACAAAGTATTTATAATTAAGCCTGGAGGGTTTAGATTTTTATCAGTAAAGATGGTTAAACATCAATTTCATTGTATGAACACAAACCAACAAAAATTATATCCATTAATATTAGAGATTTAGAGTTAGGCAAAGAAATAAAAATGCTACTTGAGAACTTAAGATTTTGATTTAAGTATATTTACTTTATATATTTTGATACATGATGTTGATAATTTGTGTTTGGTTAACTTTTTCCTTCCTAACAACTAATTCATGTCTTCAGTCATTAAATAATTGTCTGACTTTTCCATTATATGACCTCCCCCAATAATCGCCCACAATTGCAAAAATTGAAAAAGATTATTTTAAAAATGCTTAAAACCACCAACATGTTAAAATTATAAAAACTAGCAGTTAAAGCCTGCCGTTGACTGGGCAAAGCCATTTTGCATAAATTACACTTCTAGGAAAGTACAAGAAATTAAATATATGTAATAGAATTTTTTATAACATGCTTGCAGAAGGGAAGTAAAAGAACAGTTTTAAATGTGTAGGATTTCAACTTCAAACATTATTCATTTTATTGAATAATTACTATACATAGTACATTTGAATCAGAAACTTGTAAAGCTTGCATTAGTCTTTCCGTAACTAATTTGAATTATTTTGTGATTTGTAACAGTAAAAATTTTCTTTGCACTAAAATGACAGTTGAATAGGCGACTCAATTTTAATTTTGTTAGCAAATTTTTTATGAACTCTAATCCTAAGAGTCATGATTTTTTCTAATGAAAAACAAGATAACACATTTTGCATAAACAATCCTGCCACTTAAGTTAGCTGAATGCACTACTTTTTACACACTAATATGCTGGTTGAAAGGTTTAAATAGTTATCTGTAGGCAATCATGAATTATGACTTGATTTTGTAAAAACAAATCTTCAAACAAACTCTTCAAAATATATAATAGATATGCAAATAATTAAATTCTGCCAAACCTATTTAGTCTTTTCACAAGGATCATAATATGAACAAAGTTAAACAGTACAGGCAGTCCCCGGGTTACATGGATCCGACTTACCCCGTTTGTAAGTAGGGATCCGATGTGAGGCAACCTCGCACTAGCTGCTTCTCCCCAGCAGACCAGGGAGACGCGAAGCTAGCGCCGCCCCAGCAGACCAGGGAGACGTGGAGCGGCTTTTCTCAGCAGACACCTCAGCTTGAGAATGAAGGACTGAGGGAAGTGAGGTGCGGGAGAATAAAACTGAGCTCTGGAGAAACGTTTGGCTAGAGTTTCCCCTACAATATGTACCAGTTCCGACTTACATACAAATTCAACTTAAGAACAAACCTACAGTCCCTATCTTGTACGTAACCCGGGGACTGCCTGTACTTGCCACCCCGTTTCAATTTAAACTATAAATACACACATATGCAAATGTCATGCAAATAACTGAAGGCCCAGTCCTCCAAGCAGTTATAGATGAGTAGTTTTATGCCTTTATGCCATCAATGAGATTACTCACATGTATAACTCTTTGCTGGACTGGGACCCTCAGGGTTTACAAGACTAGGCTATTAGGCTGCATTAAAACCAAGGTTCTTAGTTTTACTTAACTTAAACTGAAATGTGACATCAGATAGAGTCTAATATCTTTGTTAAAAAAAAACCACCAATATCACTAGAGTAACGATAAGGTCACGAGACCGCAATACTGCCTACATGTATTTATTTATTAGTATAACACTGGAATCTCTTACATAAAAAAAAAAAAAATCCTGCCTATGGTAAGGACCTGCCCACAGCACACAACCTAGAGCAGTGGTGAGCAAAAACCGGCCTATGGGCCGGACCCAATCGCCAGAGTTAGCCCTTGGCGGGCCACCACAGTATTATTTACCTACACCTCTGCTTGAATCTCCTGATGGACACAGATCGTTGTTCCCAACCAATGGGAGCTGCAGGAAGTAGTGTCCCAGTCCGTACCATTTCCTGCAACCTAGACACGCTGTTTAAGTTTTAATGAGATCAATAACACATGCCATACTTGAATAAAGTCAGTTCAAAAGTAACAATTAAAGTTTGACAGCCCAGATTGAGATATATGCTCCCAGATCAAGGAGCCTGTTAGTTCCAATAGCAATGTTTTTCTTGGCTTCTTTTATAGTTCTTATTGAAATTTCAACATCAAGAGAAATCAGAACACTGCATTTCATCCTCAGGTTAATACAGTATGGCAAACTGAATGTCTATACAAAATGTAAGGTATACAGAATGCTAATTTATATCAACTATATATTTCAGTTTGACAAAGGATACCTCGAGACCTCACATTTTAAGGCATATGACTTCCAGGCTTAGCTCTATTTGATTTTTTAATCTTAATGTTGCAATTACTGATTTGGTTACTGTCTTGTTTGAAAGAAAGGAAGTGTTGCCAGCAGTACTTCTAAATTTCTCTATCTATAGCTATTTGTTTCATTTCGCCTTAATCCAGATATCCTAAATCAAAAGTTTCGATTAGTAAACACACAAATATTAAAAGCATAATTCTAATGGGCACACATTCTAATTTGCACACAAATTCTAATATACTGCTTTAAAAATATTTATAAACTTCAAAATGGCAATAATTTATTCAAAACTTGGCATAATCCTTGTAGCCCAATAACATGAGTAGAACTAGTTAAGACTGAACTTCCTATCTTCTTCTATTTGATATGAACTTCTATTTAAGACATTTCTGTTTGGAAGAGCATTTCCTCCCTTCCCCACTAAAGTGGTTCAAACAACTTTGTTCAAGCGTTCTTGAGAGCGTGGAGAGAGAAAAATCGGGAGTAAAAAACAAAACATGAAAAATTTCAACCCAAAAGGAATAAGATGTTAATAGCTCTGAACTTTTTCAAAGTAGTGAAACTGAAATTCAACCTAAATGGTAATCATCCATATTCTCCCCCAAATAATTTTTTTAAACACTTTACATTGCTGCACAAACACTAACTTAAGACATAGTTTCCATGTTCACAACCCAGCAGCATGTTTTGCTTGTAAGCTGAATCAAATGAAATGTCTATGAACGGTTACAAAATGGCTGTGCTCACAGTATAAGTGTGTTCAGAGGATGTAAAAGATTTGTAAGTGATTCCAGCAGAACTCAATATCAAATGTATGGATTGGTACTGTACCTTCAAATAACTGAGCATATTGGGGGAAACCAGCAGCCTTCAGCCAGTCACAGGCTTCTTTGGCTTCAATTTCTGTAAGAATAAGAAATTTAGAGATCAAGAAGTGAGGGTGGACTTATTAAATAAGCAAAGTTATACGCAATAACTTCACAAAGGTTGATTTCTGATGGATCAAGCAAGGACAAGAATTTATTTTATGGCATACATATATTCACAAGCATGTACGCATACAAAGAATAATTATTCTACTGTAGATTCAGTAGCTATTTGCATGTTTGATAGAAGTGGTGTATATTTGCTATAGAGTGTACCAGTCTACATCATCCATCGGTAAAGATTTATACATGTGAATGAACCAAAAAGACGCAGAATATATACGCCTAGCTACCAGTCCAAGAGATCAACAGCCAGTCACACATATGGACGTAGGCATGAAGGCAGGACATACACATAGTAGAAAATACTAATTTATTAGTTAAAACTGGAAGACCAGCACCCCATTAGTAACACTGAACACCACTCACTAGTTCTTAGCAACAAGAATTAGCCCCAGCATAGTAGCCATTGGTAAGGTCTTTTATTATTTTATTTCTAGCCTACTAGGAACTACTTGGCAGTTACTTTAACACAACAGAGATCAGGATTCAACTGCTCATTTTATAGCAGTTAATAAAGCCCGATGGCCAAAGCTATAACATTCCCACAGGAGCAGAGGCAAATCATAACCTTACAGAAATAAGGAACAATCACCAGATGCCTTAAAAATGTAAACAAGTTTAGCAAGCTGTTGGAAGAGCACATACCAGCTGCCTCTACACTGTGCAAATACTGGAAGCTGTTGGTGTGTGTTGTGAAGGAGAGGAATCTTAAACTGCACTCTTCCTCCTAGGGATACTTCTAGTTGAGTCCAACCAAAGTGCCAAGGCTTGAATGACAGAGACAATCCCTATGCATTCGCCTCAAATCTTTAACAAGAGCTTCAGAATCTGGCATATTACTGTATACTGAAGGAACGAATTGATTTGTTAAAATAGGTTTTCTAAGCAAAAAAGCATTCCATACGGTTACACAAAGGAACGTGTGGCCTGATTTTGCTTGAAATATTTGGCATTAAGTTACCAGTTTAGAAAGTTTAAGGATTTAATCTATGTATTTTGAGTTTCTCACAAATTTACTGATTTGCTCCTTCTTCATAAAGTAAATTTCAAATCTCATTCTGAATCTGTTTTATTACTAAATGAAAATTAGCTCAGTTTGATTAATTTAGGTAATTCTATTTCCAATGCATATGAAAGCCACCATTTTGCCCCCAGCACCATATGTGTGGTGCCACTTGCTCACCCAGCAGTCTCTGCCCATGCAAGAGGGGAGGGGGATGGTAACAGCAGGAAGCTGGGTCCCCCACCCCATGGACAGGGGCTGCTGCCAGAGAAGCCTCTGTTCATGGCTAGCCCTAACCACTACGGCCAGAGCAGCCTGTGTTCACGGCCAGGCTAGGCTGTCCCAGCCCGGCACTGCTGCTGTGAAGCAGCCCCTGTCCGTGTCAGTGCTGTTGGTTGTGAACACAGGCTGCTGGACCCAGCCCAAGCTGGGACTGAGCAAACCTGGCTAGGTCCCGGCTCGCACCGGGTCCAGGACCTACCCTTGCTGTGACTCTTCATTTTAAATGTAGTAGGAGGTGTGCTGCCTGCGCATTTAAACTGGAGAGCCGCAGTAGGGCTAGCTCCTGGACTCTGTGTGAGTCAGGACAGAGCGCCTTCCCTTATTAATTGCATAGTTGATAAAAACTGCATCAACTACATGATTAGCCAATTACTCACCTCAACATCCTCAATATGAAAAGATACTTTAACAATAGCATACATATTAAATTGATGTATTCTATGGGTTCCAATGCCCCCAAAATGTTAAGGCTTGAAGAAAGAACAATATTCTTGAAGGCATAGCCCTTTATTGCATCCACAATATAGTATCAACCTTTGGCACCAAGCATGAGAAATGTAACAAGGCACTTCTAAATCCTGGTTTAAAATCATAATTATTGCTGCTCACAAACTAATACAGTGCTTTAAATGTGTAGGTAAGAGATGCCAAGATCATTGAGGATTAAGCTGCAGTCAGATATCCTTTTATGCAGAACAGAGCCCATCTTCTTAGTCATTCTTCTTCTTATTTAACCTGTTTAAATGGACACCTGTGCTATTTTTCTGTTGTAGAAACAGCATAAGCTAATGGTTTATGCAGAAGAAAAAGACATGCTACTTTGCTCCTCCCAGTCTCAGGTCTCCCCAAACTGTGAAATTAAGAAATGCATTTTACTTTAAAGTGACATGGTGATTGATTAATTAATATCTGTGCAGTTCCTGTAACACGTGTACAACCTCACTACATTATTAGGATTGGTTGACACTGTACAGTCAGTTACACAGACAATACTACAGGATCTATCAATAGACTTATTGACCATCTTTTAAAAATAGATTTATTAGAAAACACAGGATGATTCTAAGTGCTTACTCTTTTTTATTCCAATACTGCTGCTCATAGTCAGCAGCCCTTCTTAACAGAAGCAGGAAACAGGAGATCCTTTGAAAATCTGGCACAGGAGTGACACTCCACATTCTATTACAATTACATCCTGTTTCTCAGGATTGAGAAGGCAGATTCCTAAAGATCATATGGGATTATCTGCATTTGGTATGAAATACCAGAGTGACTTAAACCGTGCAACTCCTCCACATGCATTAAATACACTCTGGTTTTATAAATATTTAAGCAGTTGGAAAATTTCCATTTCCTGCAAGTCCCATTAATTTATCAGAGATTAGAGACAGCACTTTAAAGTTGGCTGTTTTCTCTTGAGCCAAGGGTGATAGGGTCACTGCCAAATGTTTTTTGGGAAGCAAAACACAAATGCATGACCTATGTCAATTTTCCATATGGGACTGTAGGAGAGAGTTACATAGGCTGGTTATCACAATCTTTTATCTCTTCTGAATTTTGGTTAAGTTCAAAAATCAAACAGATGCTTGCATTAAAATGAATGTTCATTATTTTATTAAAAGTCAATAAAGATCTGATTTATAAAAATATATCCGCTCAGCATTTGATGACCAAGAACAGCAGCGTTGTGCTACTCTAGGAAAGGCAGAAAATGAAGCTAACCAGAAACCATATGAAACAAACTAGTCTCATCTCAGTCTAAACTGATGAAGTCCTTCAAGTAAACAAGCAGCATGAATGGTGATTAGTACTTTAGAATTTAAAAATTATTTGTTTTAATAATTTAAGTAACAGGTAGGAACCATTGTTTAAAACTACAGCATATAAAGCTATACTCCACAGTATTGCTGCAATATACTGAACACAAAACTCATACTTAAAGTACTGTTTGGGATTTTTTAAATGTCCCTCAGTACCAATTTTCTGCGCTTGAAAACTATAACATTTCTATTATCAAGATCAAATCTTTCACCTTCATTGTATCAAAATGCATTTTCCCAGTTTTGATGGATAATAATTACAGTGATCAGGATTTAAGTTCAGTAATTCCTCATTTAACACGTGCCTGCTTAACAAGTTTTCGCGATAGCACAATTTTTTTTTAGGGAATGTTTTTTTAATTACACGACTGTCCCCAGAACAACACGATTTCCCCAGCCTTCCCATTGCTGGCGGCTACACGGTGCTTCCCCTGCCTCCCTGCAAAGCAGCGGAGGGTTCGCTGCTCACCGCGCCTTTCCTTGCTGACTCCCCCTGACCAGACACCTTTCCCCCTCTCCGCCTTCCAGGCCAGCGGCTGGGTTTCCCCAGCTGGCCCGACGCCAGCAGCTGTGCGGGGCTCCTCCCCCACCCCCCGCGTCCCTGCAAAGCAGCAGAGGGTTCGCTGCTCGCCGCGCTGTTCCCCAGCGACACCCTTCTCCCCAGATGCAGTGTGGGTCCTGTCAGACCCGTCACAGGGGCATACTCCCAACCCAATCCCCTTTCCCTCTCCTCCCCTTCCCCAGAGCCAAACACCTCCCCTCCCTGCTGTAACCCAGTCCCCTTTCTCCCCCAACCTTATGTCCCGGTCCCAACTGACACCACCGCTTGAAACACAACCCCCACCTTTTCCATTATTTTCAATGGGAAAATTGACCCTGCATAACATGTTTTCACTTAACACGATCATTTTCTGAAACATATCTATAGTGTTAAATGAGGAATTACTGTACATTGAAGTGGGAGGGTTTTTAAATCTGAAATTGTTCCAGGACCTTGCAGATGTGGATG